AGTGAAGTGTTCGAATTTCTCAACATGACTCACAGGTTGTCTTGTCGACCTCCATCTTGATTGGTTATTGCTGAATTTTAATCTGTCACTATCTCTTTATATTGATTGTACCTTCCTTTGATCTGATTCTTGGTACTATACAAATGTAGCAAACAAAACTCCGCCTAAATCATCTACCTGAGCTACAAATCTTTTCTAGAACAGGGCAGCCGTTTATTAATGTTGTTTTATATTAGATTGGATAACGTTTAGAAAACTTGGAATCGCGAAAACCCCTATTGTTTTATTCCTGTTATTTCGCATTGATATTCCCTCAATTATTTAAACAATGGAATGGATTGCATGATATCTATCAGTGCAAGTAAAACTGAAACCATGTATTTTAGTCAACTCTTTTTACACCTGAATATTTTAAGGCATTTTTTATAAAAGATTGTTTCTATCTAGTGTATAACTACATTTCTACATCTAATTTCGTTTCACAGAACGACAGTGAAATAATGCAATTTCCGTCATATATATATAATCCGACATCAAATAGTCACTTCTTTTATAATTAAGTTAAATTTTGTCACTTACATTACAAGTTTTCAAAACAGTAGCATTGCGAACTCTAGTAATACATTGAAACACTTTTCAGCTAAGGAATGGAAATATACATTCATCCGTAATTAATAATAATAATAATAATAATAATAATAATAATAATATAATAATAATAATAATAATAATAATAATAATAGTCACGGTAACACTTGTTTTGAAGTTATTACGAAAACAAACAAATTATCATTGGGTTATCAGCAAATTACTCAACTAAGCAGATCTTTTTAAATTGTACATATTTAAAATTTGACCGGAAAATAAGGAAAAAAATGTTACGAAAACTGTTGAATTATTCAACTGAAGAAACTATAACATTGATACAACAAACTTTTTTAAAATATATAACAACTTGATTATATTTAATTCTTTGTTTAGTAATGTGAAGTTTACATGAATAGATAATAATATCTATAAATAGAATCATAGCGACTGGTACTTCCGCTTAAAGTCTACGATAGGAATACTATGTAGTAAGGAAAAAATGATTTCTCAAAATACTACCAATAAATGGGATAATAATATAAGGAAATTTAAATGAAAACAAATATTTACGTTGGTAAACAACAACAACTATTGAAAGTACTTCGGCAGGACAAGTGACAAATCTAAATTTAGTTTAGCTTAATTAACCAAGAATGGGATCCGAGTTTAACTACTGTTATTTTTGATGGATATAAAAAAAATTATTCAGTTAAAAGATCACTTACTTGTAAAACGATCGATCTGTTGCAAAGATGTGCTCAACTTTAATTCAGAAACGTTGAAATATGCTCCCACACTAATATATCGAATCACATATATACATCCGAACATAATTCAAAAATGAATGAGAATTTATAATTAGATCAAATCCTAACATAAAAATCTAAGTTTTCTAAGATCACTGATACTTTTCCCTAAGACAGATGTGTGATCTATTTTTGTTTAGCATTTTAGATACCCCATATTTTAGTCTTAATTCAGGAAATATATCTAATCTACTAACCAAATATATGAAAAACTAATTTAAAAAATTATTTTCAAGGATTTAATAACAAACTTGTAGCATACATTTTAACTAAATGATACATACTTATGCCTGTTCGCCTCGTGGAGGATCATAGGTCGCCCAATAGCATTCACCATCCAACTCTGTCCTGGACAATCCTATTCACCTGCTATTCATCCTAATCATGTCTGCTTCCGATTCCCGACGTAGTGTGCTCTTTGGTCTTCCTTTTTTTTGTTCCCCTTCAGGATTCTAAGTTAGTACTTGCCTCGTGATTAACTTTGGTGATTTCCGTAATGTGTGTCCTATCCATTTCCACCATCTTTTCCTCATTTCCTCCTCAGTTCAAAGCTAGTTTGTCCTCTCCACAGTAACCTGCTGCTGATGGTATCCGGCCGATGGATGTTGAGTATCTTGCGTAGACAGCTATTTGTAAGTACTTGTACCATCTTGATGATGGTTGTATTAGTTCCCCAAGTTTCAGCTCCGTAAAGTAGAACTGTCTTTACGTTTGTATCGAAGATTCTGACCTTGATATTCGTTGGCAGTTGTTTCGAACTCCATGTTCTTCAACCGTAAGAATGCGGCTCTTGTTTTTCCACTCCTTGACTTTACGTCTGCAATGGATCCTTCTGTTAATTGATAATGCTGAGCTTCTCCGTCAAGTGTGATTGATTTGGTGTTCTCTGCGTTGTAGTAGAGCATTTTCCCTTGTATATGTTGAGGCCTACTGATGCATAGGCTTCTGCTACACCGTTTGTCATGACCTGCATTTGTTTGTGGTACCGGGATTGAACGACCAGATGATGTGTTCAAATCGTCTAGTTGCATTCATCCTGTCCATTATATTCCGTGCTTCCTTTCAGGTGTCGAGATCTTCATAATCCAGTCGACCACCGGAAGAGGAAGGGAGAGAGTAGAGAGCCTCGTATGACTCCGGTTCATGCTTGGAATGCATTTGTCAGTTGTCCCCCATGCACTACTTTGCACTATAGTCCGTCGTGTAAATTCTGTATGATGGTGACGATCTTCAGGTACACTATAGTGTCGAGGTTTCCATAATGTTCTCCTATTTTCACTGTCAAACGCCTTCTTATAGTCAATGAAGTTGAAGTACCGTGACGAGTCCCACTCAACTGATTGTTCAATGATGACCTGCAGCGACGCAACTTGGTCTATATACGACCCATCCTTACGGGATCCAGCCTATTGAAGTGGGGGCATGCACTGAATCTTTCATCCGGTCCAGCAACACTTCCGAAAACTTTTCCTGGTACTGACAGTAGTGCGGTGCCTCTGTAGTTCTCACATTTACTCAGATCTTTCTTTGTTGTCTTTCCAGTTCATTAGCACACATTCTTCATCCCAAATCTCCCTGAACAGAATGTGGAGCATGATTGCCATTACTCATACGTTAGGCATCAGTGCTTCAGCTGGTATGTTGTCAGATCTTGCTGCTTTCCGACTCCTGATTTGTCAGATGGTCATTCTGATTTCTTCGATCGTTGGTGGAGTGACATCCATAGGAAGGTCTCTGTGTGCTGCTTCGATGGCCTGGGACCGGTCTATTCACAAGCTCCTCGAAGTCTTCTACCCATCTGTCCCTCTGTTCTTGGATCTAAGTGATTGGCTTCCTTTCTTTCCCTTGACTGGTTTCTTTGGTTTACCATATTCCTCTGCTAGTTTCTTCGTTTTGTCATATAGTTGTTTCATATTTCCTTCTCTTGCAGCTTTTTCCACCGTCGCTACTAGGTCTTCCATGTACTTCTGCTTGTCGGCTCGGATGGTCCTCTTCATTTACTTGTTTGCTTCAGCGTATTCAGTTTGTACCTTGACTTTCTCCGCTCTTGTTGATCGCTGTCTTCTTGTTATTCCTTTCTTGAATCCTGTCCAGGGTTCTCGCATCCTAAATTGTCCTGAATTTTTATTCATAAAATATGACCTACCTGGGTCTCCGTGGTGTGATACTGTGAGACCCATATAGCTTTGTGTATACGTTTTTGTGGAAATATTGTGCCATCTATAACCAATTTGTTGAATGCACATAGGTTTGAAATTCTCTTCCCCAGTTCATGTCGCCCCATGATATCGTCATATCCGGTGTTGTCAATTCCGACTTAAGCGCTTAAATCTGCCATCAGGATGGTCAGGTCCGTTCCTGAGCACTTCGCTATGATCAACTGCAACCTCTTGTAGAACTGATCTTTATCGTCGCCGTTGCTATCATTAGTGGGTGCATAACATTCATTGTAGTCCCTTCCTTCTGCTTTGATGATTCCGGATCCGTGAGATCCCCATCCTACAAATGCATTACTTGCTTCTTCGGACATCATCAGAGCAACTCCCTGAGTGTGTGCAGCTTTGTTCTCTTCGTGACCGGAGTACAGCAGCATCTGTCCCGTACCTAACCTTTGCTACCCAGCTTGGGTCCAATGGGTTTCGCTGATTCTGAGTACTGCCAAGTTGTATCTCCTCATTTAACTGGTCCTCCAAGTCTGCTACTTTATCCGGACGTCCCGTCTAGAAATTGTTGCTCTGGTAGTTAGAAGGGGCTTCGGCCTCATGACTTCCGAATATCTGCTTTCATCATGAGGCGTCATTATTCTTCCCTTAACTCTCAGGGCAGAGCCAATTAAGTAATATCAACATAAAATGAAGGTTGGTGACCTACGGTTTATATTTCTATGTTGCATAATCATCATTAAATATTATCGGTAGCGTGACTGCCTCACTTTCCGTATGGTGGAACTCCGAGGTAATTCCTGAAGTTTTAGCGAGGAAATGTGATCAGGAAGAGCTTAAGAGCCCAAACTAAAGCTTGAAAAATATCATCTACATCCAAACTTATATGTAGTTGGCAAATGTTTTCGTAACATAACCTGGATGTGGTTTAACCATAGATTGGGAAAGACGAGATTGAAAGTCATAAATCTCTTTCTAAGGGTATGATATAAGATAGCTAGAATATGAACTACTTAGTCTCCTGATATTTTGCTTAGGAGGAATAAAATGTTTATAATAACCTGGCCATTCATTCATTAACCATTACTCACCTATGTGTCAGTGCAATTTTAGATAATTACTTATATGAACAAACACAAGATTTTACCACGGTTAAAATGCTCATAAATGTTTATTTGAAAACGTGATGATAATTGATGCAAATAAATCAAATTTCAAAAAAGCAATACATAAGGAGTCACATAACATACTCTCGACTTTTATGTCATGAATCTATCGAGGAACACCCTATACGATGTGAATTTTGTGGTCGATCAAAATGATTCAGACACATGTAATTAGTAATTTACTTTTTCCTTGAAAGTGTCTTATTAATTGTATTTCCACTTTTTTCCGATACATACTGAATCTCTGTTACGCAATACCAAGTTTTATCACCATGTAGTTAATTAACTGAATAAATAACGATTGATACGAAATTCTAGCCATCATAAGATAATTAACTCGCATAAATTTCTTTTGTATAAATCAAAAATACAATACAAATAAAGAATATTCATAATGGAACCGATAATAAATATTGTAAAACAACATAGGTAATTTGATACATAAGAGAATCTTCAGAAGATTATCACAATAAGCTCTTTATTATCGGTTTCGCTTATCATGCTGAAATTGACTCCAAACCGAATACATTCATTTGATCGATCCAACCCCTGTTGAAACAATCCTCAGAAAATTTTTCATGTACCCACTGGATGGCATTTTTCCGTATGGCATCGATTTGTGATTCAGACATTTTCAGTAATACCAATTCGAAAATATTTGCGTATTCATCAACTGTAGACGCAAGGAATCCAACACCTGAATTTTCTAACTGATTGGAAGATGAACTAGTTTCTGAGGGTCCAATTATATCAGTAAGTGGACCACCGGATCTGTGAGCAATTGTAATAAGACCTGATGCCATGCCTTCCACAACACCTGTTGAAAATAATACATAAAACATCAGACTATACTTTGAGGAAATAATGCATGAAAAATGACTGACATCAAGGTGTAAAACTGATGTTGAGGAATAAACAGAGATCACATAACGTCCGGATGCTAAAATAGAATAATTAACTAAATGTGAAAGAATTTCATTTTAGCTTAACACAATACACATGGGGAATTGCATAACACGTTTCAATACTCTATACACAATTATTAGCGATAGTTAGCAATATATGCAGTGAACTGAAGTGTCATCTCGAAGATTATCAAGTGTACTTTTATAGTTGCTATGACTGACTGACAGCCGAAAAAGCGACAGAAAACTTAATGAACTAGCAGTGACTTTTACTAGATCTAGCAAAGCACAGATCGATCCACTATTATGGTAATGAACTCCATCATTAAAACAGTACATAATGATAAGGTACAAAAAACTAATTTATTTACTCTTCAAAGGACATGAGCACAGACACAATGATCTGACAAATCATTTTATAACCGTATAATTATCTTTGTGATAGGTACTCAAATAATAATCAACTTACAGCATGTCACATATGTGAGTCAGCCCACGGTTTTAGAAAGCTCAGCTGGCTTTTTGCCAAACTCAGTCACTTGGTATGTGAAATCTTCATCTGCCACTTAAAAATCCAGTCTACTGAGCAGCGGCTCATCCTGCCTTACTTTATGGCTGTGAAACATGACAATTAAGAATGGAAGATATTCAGAGGCTAGTAGTATTTGAACATGCCTTCGAATAATTGTTTGCGTATATCAGGACAACTGAGTGAGCAATGATGAGGTAAGTATAGAGTATTGGGTAAATGTAGAAAATTGGTTGGTCTGATAATGAATCTTTATCAACCAAGGCGGTAAGGACATGTATTGCGTATCCCCAACTACCGCCCACCTCCATGGGTTATGATGGCTGGTGTAGGGGGTGGGTCGCAAGAGCACTACGGGTGACCAGACCAAATCGTGGGATCAGTCCATGAAGACGTCAACAATTGAACTGGACCTTGTAAATAAATTACACACTGCCTAGTGGGAGTTTACGCCATTATCGTAAATAATTGTTAGACTCTAAGTGAAGCGACTCAGAATCAATTGCAATGGCACAGGAGTATCCACCGTGTCCCTTTAGATCATCAATCCCGGAATCCCCTACACGTTTGATCTCTTTTCATACCTATTCTTTTCTGTTACTACTGACACTGTGATTACTTTGACCACTCTGAGATTTGTAAGAATAATTCTACTTAGCTGTGTTAATGTTATGTGTTAACTTGAACCGATACACGACGTACTAGGTTCCATGTTGCATATGACTGACTGAATCCTAATGCCCAACTAAGTAATAATCACAAAACCAAAAGCATATCCGCGTATAACCATTTAGCAATTACTTAAAATCGAGATTTCAAGCAACCGTTTCATATAACCCTATAACTTTTTGGAATCAGAGTTGCGGCTTAGTGGTTGTAGCACTCGACTTCACATACAACTTAGTGAAACAAAACTCTGCATAAACCTGTGTGTTGTATTGAGTTACCCCAATTAACCAACACACTCACAACTCTTAGTTGGATAGTAACCAGGATTCTGAGGCTTTGAGGATAGTATGCTAACTTTTTTAATATACAGAACAGGCTCTGATAGTTAATATTTTAAAATCCGACTGGGACGTTCTGAATTTTCCACAGATGTGTTTAGTGGTGCCTTTTCTGATGCGCAATTTTATTTAGCTCAGACTGGCGTACTATACAATATTTCTAAAGTCAACTTTAAATTACTTACTTATTCCGAAATGTTCATCCACCATAGTGTGCAAATTAACAGAACAACGTCCAAAATAGCTTTTTAACTCCTGATAGGGTAAATTAATGTGGAATTCTACAGTATCTCCAAGTTCCAGTGTAGCAGCCTGGTCTTTAAGTTTTGAGACAAGGGCAAAATCCTTGTCATCCCGACAGCCACCTATTAAAAGAAGCTTGAACTGGTGTTTTTCATCGCTTTTTGCTGACTCGTGACGGCTAAGGAAGTGATGGAAAGCGTCTAACTGAAGCTAAATATTGGAAATAAAATTTTTCAGGACTTTTTAATTATATTATTCAATAGTGACTATAGGAAATTCTATAACTGTTCAATACAAGCCCAATAAACTTTATACTAATTGCGCAATTATATAAAATAAGGCCTAAGTAATAGTACGATTAAAGCCTATGAAGATTTACTTACTGTGAAACAAGGCCAAAATCGAGATAAGGATGTAAATCTACTTCACGTGTTCAGAATAGGTGTTTCTATATTATTTTTAAGGGAAGTTATCTAGTTGGCAAAATATGCGTAACAATTTAGTTTGGCCAACCGTGAAAATGTGAATAATGGACTCAGAATATAGACTTGTGACGGTCTTCTATTGTATTGTTTACACACAAGATGGCTCTCCTAAATCTATATTATATTATATTCTTATTTAAACTAAACCGCTAAAAAACAATATCCTTGTTTTTATTCCCTTTTAGTCCTGATTCCTCCTTGTCTCTTTTTTCTCTTCCCAAATTTATTTCACTGGATTATACTCCTTGAATAACATCTCCAAACCCTAATCTTCCCGATTACTGCTTATACTCTTACTACCTCTACCACTACGGGATTTGAATCAACAACTGCATCTCTGTGCCAATGTGGTATGGCAACTCGAACTGATGTACGTACGTACAAAGTTCTACGTTGTTACTGACTGATTGATTCCCTTATAGTGAGTAAATGATACTGTCTCCTCACCCGTGTGGTGCGTTTCATGGTAATACTGATGTAACAAGTATTTTTCTAAATTGTAAAAAAAATTACAATGGTAATAAATGATCACTCGTAACTGAAATAGATCTATACGTTATTTGATGTTTAAGGACTCTGAAGCTCGAGAACGACATTGATGTACTAACTGCATGAGTGAATCTTATGAATGAGTATGTACGCCTGATTTGAATGTTTGACTATCCATGATCTACTTGGTGAACACCCGAGGATTCCAAGGCTAATAAACTCATAGGTTTACACAAAGCGTTGAGCTTACAAAAGAAACATATCAGCTGTATTTCTCATTATAGTTGTTTTTAATTATTTAAATAAGTGGTTTTATAAGATTTAACTTCACGTGGTACGTTATCGGACACGACCACAAGTGATCAGGAAGAGTTTAGTAGTTTGGTTTACTCGACTTTTTGATCGATGAAATTTAGGACTTAAGAATCAGAAAATATAACTGTTCTAGATTTTGGTTGGGAATGAATACTTGCTATTTAGATAGGGTTTTACTGAATTGGAAACTAAAGAATGTTTAGTTTAGTGATATATTTGAAAATGCTAACGTTGAGTATTTGAGTAACGGAAATATTAAACATTACATAAACCAATAACAGCAAATAAGACACAGTGCTGAGTATCTCAGATTACATGAAGCAGATTTCGGTTCAGCATTAACAGTTAGAGAACTACATGAGTACATATCTAATAATTACTGTGATCAGAAAAAACTTTACAAAATGCCATAAATTGAACTGTCTAGAAGTAATATATCTCAACAAAAAAAGAAGCAAACCTCGTGATTCTTTTCCGGTCTAAACTGACCGACAGATAAAATCCACTTAAATCTTTGATCACTGACTAATTTCCCTTCCAAATCCTCAACGGGACAAGGAGGATAGAGCACAACAGGTTTTCCACCCCACAATGACTGAATATGCTTTTGAGTCCAAGATGAATTCGTCATTGCAACATCGACATTTATGCTTGAACCAGAGAATTTATAAGCTTTGATAAAAAGGTTGTAGTATAAGAATTTTATGCTGGAAAAGATCTTATTATTTCTAACCCAATCAGGATTATTATAAGTTAAAACTATTTCATTTTTATTTTTTGAGAACAGTGAGGACGATACACGTTGCAACATGACAGACGATATAGTTGGATAATGTACGTAAGCCGCTGTCTGTGAATTACATAACCATTTGGCTAGAGGTATGGTAAAAGCGAATCCGGTAGTGTCAATATATACATCCGGTGGGCATCTAAAGATAGCTTCCAATCCAACTAGAACTGAACCAAAAGCCTGACCAGCTAGTGTGAATAAACGATATAGCTTCGGAGTTAGTAATATCTCTGATTTCAGCGGTACAAAATGTATAGCAGAATTGGAAGGTTTGTTGAAATATATTCCAAATATTCTTCGGACGTTACTGAGGACTTTATCAGGATTTGAAAGGCACTCTGCATCATTGGTATAAATAACAATTACTATGTTTTTATATCTACATTAACAAAATGTCATATTTTAATCAATAAAGAAATAAAACAACCTACTTTTCTAACATACACTTAATTGCAGTCCATAGAACACGTTCACCCCCACCCCCACAATTACAATAAGGATGAAAGAACCCAACAATCTTGTGATTGGCTGGAACACCATATTTCTCCATCAAATCACGGTGCATAACGTGTTTTCGATGACGGATAAACCATTTAATTGCGAAAATAATAGCATATACAACTAACAAAAAAACCAACAAGGTCTAAAAGAACTAATAAAATGACTAAATTACCATCATCTTTATAGAAGATAATTCCCTAACAATCAGTTGCAGACGACAGAAGTCTTTGTATATGCTAAAAAATAAAGATAATACATTAAATTAAGAGCTGCAGTCTGTTTGAGCAATTAACTATTAGTCATTAATTAAAGAACCAAAATCCAGCTTCATTAGTTTAATCTAAGCAGTGTGTAGTGTCATGGATTTCCATCCAGAAAAGTTGCACACTGATTTGTCATGTTGAAACTGTCAATGTGTACTTAAACAGAGCAAGACTTTCCTTGGAATTCCAGAAACGCTTCTTCGAGAAGCATGAGAACTAAGTTTAATTGAACACGAGGGCTGCCCTTAGTAATCTAATGGTAAGAATAATGTATTAAGACATAAAACAAGCACGTTGGCAACAGCACATATTTACTGAGCACAGCTAATGTGAGTAAGAAGTGGTAGCAGAGTGAATAAAATCATTCTTATTGAGAATCAACCCACACCATTGACACCGAGTCACACATTAATTCTCATCTCTATTATCTGATAAGAAGCATGCTGTTTACAATTCTTTTAGTACGAATCAAGAAGGAACTACCTCTTTAAAGTGAACAAAATTCCTGTGCATCTGACTAGCCACTTTGAGGACTGTAGGATTGTGATGTCATCACTGTATGCAAGACCGATTAAATAGTACTTAACAAAATTATTATTCAGTTGCTTCATATGATCTTTTTACAATATGCAAACTGCTCATGTGGAAATTAGATTCCATCCAACTGCCGATAAAGGGCACATTTTCCGAATTCTTGTCCTCGTTGTTTTGACGCCTGGCATTGGGACCCAGCGAAACATATTGTTTTCAGAACTCACTTCCTAGAAAACGTCAGCAGAGATCTTAGTCTGATTTTCTTCTAAGTGATGTGTTCACATAGCAGAGACTTAGGTAGTGCTGTAATTCCCTATAAAGTACTGGCATATCAGTATCCCAAGCGTTTAAACATAATCACTGCCTAATGGTTGCTTCTTGAGTTCATTATAGCGAGTGAAAAGCTGGCTAAATTAACCCATCGCCTTGACCTGACATATTTTTTCCACTTCTTCCTACTAGATCGGGATAACTCAGAGAACATGACAGGTAAGTAGAAAAGTCAAGAACGAACAAAATACCGGGGCATACAGGCTTTCACATCGAGTCACCGATTCTTGAAACCTAGGTTACGACAACTGTTTCTTTAAACTGGTGTCCGTACCTTTAGTTGACTCATTCAAGAGAAGACTAGACCCTCACAGAAGCTTAATAGGAAAGGACTAACATAGGCTGTAGGCCTTCCGTCCTTACTACACAAGTATGCTACTGATCCAAGTGGAGCTGCGACGAGATAGATTTGAGGTGTCCCAACGAAATACAAGTAAGTGTTTTACGTTTTAGATGACTACAGCCATAGACAGCTAAAACGTACTTAATTTACTAGTTATTTTGCATGAAAAATTCCCAAGCCCCCAACTTTGGGGAAATCTCCAATGTTTGGGGAGATTTTGGGGGTTTTGTGCCATTTCCCCAAAATTTACTATAGCGGCTTCCCCAAAATGGGTCAAATTTTCCCAAAAACTGGGAGCTTGGGTTACATGTTCAAAATAACCAGTAATTTGAAGTTTATTGTCATATCTTGGACATTTGTAACCTTACTACAAGAGAAAATCAAACCAAGTGAGAAAGTGTTTCTTATTATATACACAACATGTCTCAAAGTTAACTATTAGAATAATTTCTTGAACTAGATACCTGGTTCGACAAAATTTACGGTGTCGTTCGTACTGATGAAATCAAAAATATGACGAAACTAGGTGTGTATATACTTCCACTACAAAATCATCGCAGCTCTCTTTGACCAGCCTGATAAACTTTCTCCAAACGAAAGCAGGCAATCAAACCTTGGCAACGCTCCTAGGGTATCGTCCACTGATGGGGGTTGCGAGCACTTGAAGGTCAAACTGTCGCAAAATGATTGGTGCGTCACATCGACAATTCGTGAAAATTTTCAGAAGCGGTCAAATCAAGACATTTTTGGATTTGAATTGATTTCAGCTACACTATGTCTGATAACGTTCATTCTTCAAGTAACGAAGACGACTCCATCGTGATGATGCATGATATAGGCCGAATCTTCAATGATATTATATTATCTCGAAGATTTACAAGTTGGGACAATTTTGAGACCTGTTTGAAAGAAGTACATAAGGTAATATGACCTCTGGGGTTAATAATTATTTTTTTAGTATACGCATACTAAGTACGTTATGTCAGTATGCAAAAAGAACAGTGATGATCCAACTCTAAAGTACTTTTTCGTGAGATATGTCTGTACATATGGACGTAAACGCAGTTCGTCAGAGTCAGATGCTTGCGTTCAGGATGTAGATGATGATAGTAATAATCATTCTTCTGAAGAGCATACAACTTCTAACTCGCCAACACAACCTAGGCAAAGGAGACGACGTCGGTCATCTACGTATGCCTTACTTCAAATGAATTTATCCTTCAGGTCGAAATATTGCCACTGTCAATCAGGATTTTGGGTCCGGGCAGTGAATGGTGAGTTGAAACTCACCTCTATTAAAACCGTGCACAACCATCCTTGCACAGAAGGATATATTTCTGTCGATCCATCGAAACGACAGTTGACCTCAAGTGAACGCTTGTATTTAAGAACGTTTCTACTGAGTAATACACCAACTCGTAGCTTACGGTATCTGGTTTCTTTGAAGTTCAATAAACAGCTTACCAAGGACGATATCGCCAGAATGCGTTCACAGTTGTACCCAGGTTGTTGAACTCACATTGTAATTAATTGAGTTTAGACACTAAAAATATCAATGACATCTTACAGTGTGTTCAAGCGAACACTGAAGTAAAAGTATTCAATGAAAATGGGAATATATCTATGATTTGCTCCGGCATCAAGGAGAAAATAGCTGTTTACCACGCTTTCTCGGAGGCAATATGCATTGATTCGACTTATCAGACCAACAAAGTTGGGTAAGTAACGATTAGTAATAAATTTATCTCGAAGTTTTCCACTGTTCCAGCTAGTGGTGATTGATAGTCTTGGGCAAGAGCACACTGTTATGTATGCTCTTTTCAGGCAAGAACGACGCTAAAATGTCGTAAAACTATTGCAATGCTTTAAAGACATAATGTGTGTTGGTGTGTGTTCCTTTGCCTCTATAAGCTTTGTAGACTTATCTCGATATAGCAACTGGTGGACACGGAAATACATAATGGACTTGGTTCTTCGTGCGCTGGACAACATGTCAATCTCTACAGAAAGTGGTGATTTGCTAGAGAAGTTCACTAACAACTACCACTCAATCCATTCTCTTAGTGAACATTTGGCCAGTAAACTCATCCGTTCATGCCTCGAAGCATCGAAAGACATATGCGCACAACTGATGAGTTCAATCGCTGCTAATGATGAAGCTAAAACGTCAGAATCCATTTTTCATACAGACCATAGCTATGCTTCTTGATAACAAGAAGTTCTAATATTGTAATCTTTTTAGTTTTACATAAATTCATTTATATGGCCATTGACTTATTCTTATAGCGTAACGGCAGGGAGTGTACTGTGCAGTCTTATGTGGCTGTGAGACAGGGATGTTGTTTTGCGTTCTTGTGTAATAATTACCAGTTTGGCGCACACGCGATTAGTCATACATACCGTTTACCAAATACTGCAACCTTGAACATGGTGTATCATACTAGTAGTTCGAATTTCGACCTGTCACGATAGATAAGAATTGCCGTAATTAAAAGACTGGTGCGTTATAAATGAAAACGTTTATTAAAGTTTGAATCTAGCACAAATGATCCATTAATAAATAACTTCTATTTCTCAGGAATTGTTCTCGTTAAGTCTGTGAACGCTTGCGAAGCTAGCTGGAAATAAGATAGACAGGAAAGTTATTTCAGTATAAATGTTTACCAGAAACTAGTATAAAAACGGAAACTAGTATTCAATTACAGATCGAAAGTGCATTTAACACACCCTTCCTTTGGACAGTCAATCACGCTTATTTCCTTTATCTCTTGCGTTGCTTAGGAAAGTCTGGGTCACAACATACACGGATTGTATTATTTAATTCTTTGGACAGGTTGCACTTCGGAAACTTAGACGATTAACATATATAAAGACTACTGTGTGAATTTACTTTGAATCGTCCTGTGTAACCTGCAATTCTTGATGCATATTCTATTCTAGTCCCACGTAAGTTATGAGTAATTGTCATTTACGGCATCAGCACGTAAGCTAGACAGGCGTTGGTTGATTTCCGAAGATCACATAGGATCTCACACAATCTGGTCACCTTAGATCAAGATATCTTGACTATCGAATCGAACTTTTCAGTGCTTTCTCGTGACAGCTTTATACCAGTACTTACTTCTGCTATTAGGTATTTTTGCAATAATACCGGCAGCCAAAACATTGTAGCTCCCCAGACAACCCATAAAGGGGTAAATGCTTTGGTGGTGAAAGGGGAAAACGCATCAGAATGTCGCCTGTCCGGGGAAATAATGTGGATTTCCCCCTTTTTCGCCGTTTTGTCGACAAATCACTCACTTTTCTTCTAAATATCCGCAGAATTGTCGAATTTTCGCCTAAATATCCGCCAAATAACCGAATTTTCGCCTAAATATCCGCAGAATTGTCGAATTTTCGCCTAAATGTCCGCTGAATAATCTACTTTTCGCCTAAATACACACAGAACTCCCTATTTTCCATCCATTGACATAACCCCAAAGGTCTCCTATGTTCGCCTTTATTTTCAACAACAGACCAAAACAAATCTGCAATGCAGTGGAAAACCGGCATGTTTTTGAAAAATTTTATTTAAAAGGTAAAGCGTATTATTGTACAACACTAGAGCAGAAGCTTAAGCATCGATTGTTTTGCATATCCAATGCAATTGCTAATTCATTGTTATTTGAAATTATCTGCAAAAGAAGAAACACGTGATGTATTATTTAT